TATTTGTGCATTCTGTTTTTTTCTGATCTTGCTTTTCTATTCTAAATTGTATTTTCCTTGGTATAAAATTTTCGTCCTTAGTTTATGATTGTATATTTTATATTTCATTCTATATACACATCCAAAATGCTATCCAAAATGCTTTATGGATATAGACAGGTAGAAATAAATAGATATGCTTTCAAGTAGGATAAAGTCTATTTTTTTTGTCTCTACATCTTTCTTGGCTGGCATATAGTAGTTGTTTGATTAATGTTGAAAGAAAGAAAAGTTCATTTGTAAAGAGAAAGAGAAAAATAGGATAAAAGTGAATAGAGGACTTAGAAGTTAAGGAAGGTTCTTTTCAAGATGAGAGAGACCTGAGAAGATCTCTAAGAAGGTGGGAAGCAGCCACGAGAAAAGGACAAGTTGAAAATAGGAGGGCTTTCTATGAATCTGCTCCCAGGAGAGGAGAGGAGATAGAATGTAGGAAGGGGGTGAATTGTCTTAAACAGGAGAGACACCTCTTCTTCAGTCTCCTTGATTGGTTTCTCCTCCTCGCTTTAACCTGTAAGTAGCTGTAATGCAGAATTCAGTCCTCAGTCCTCTCCATCCATAATCCATCTCCTGATGATCTCATCTAATATAGCTTTAAATACCATCTGTACTCTGATGGCTCCCAAGGCTGTCTCCAGCCCAGATCTCTGCTGTGAACTCAGGACTGCCTACTCAACATCTCTGCCAGGATGCTCAGCAGACGTCTCAAAGTTAACACGAGAAACACCGAACTCCTGATCTTCTCCCAAACCTGCTCCACCCACAGTCGTCCCCATCAGAGGCCAAAGAAGCTTGAGTCATCCTTGACTCATCTCTTTCTCTCACACAACCATCCAATCCATAAGCAAATCCCATTGCCTCCATCCTAAAAAAGAAAAGAAAAAAAGTCCAGAATCCTAGCACTTTCCACACCTCCAGCGTTACCCCTTGTCCAGCCACCATCCCCTCTCACCAGGATCTTGTCTTTGCCTCTTGGCTGGTCTTGCTGCTTCCGCCCTTCCCACCTCCAATCTTTTCTCAACACAGTAGTTAGAAGGATCATTTTTAAATGTGTCTCTTCTGCTCAGAACCCAACGCTAACTTCCATCTCACTCAGAGTAAAAGCCAAAGTTCTTATGACGCCGCCAAGAGTCTTTATTCCAACACCGCCTTCTGTCTCCATCCTGCTTAAGATTGTGCACACCCAGGCCCCAGAACCATCCCTGCACCGTATCTTCCTTCTCTGATTTATTCCTCTCCCTAACATGCTATTTACAATTTACCTTTCTCTTGCTTACTTTTCCTCTTCCCTGCTGGATGAAGATTCCACAAGGGCAGGCGTTCCTGTCTGTTTTGTTCACTGCTGCATCCTCAGTGTTCTAGGCACTACAATCGATGCTTCATATATATTTGTTGAATTCAATTTTCCCAAGTGATTCTCTTGCTTAAAATCCCTCTGTGACTCTTTCTCTGCCTCAGAAGAAAGTCCTTTCCTTTGTAAGCATCCAAGGCCCTTTGGGATCCGGCCCCTGCCCACCTCTCCAGCCTCCTCTCTCACCACATTGCCCTCCAGAACACAGCTGGAAGGAATGACCCACCACCACCTAAAGTGGTTCTTCCACCTCTGGCCTTTGCATGTGCCACCTTCTCTTCCAAGAATGCCCTTCAGAAGTCACCTCTTTTGGGATTCGTTTTGGGAGTCATCCAAATGAGTGACCTGGGCCCAAGAAGCCTCCCTGAGCCCAAGTTAGGGTACACCCCATAGTTGTGCTGCCACGATCCACTGGACTCCTGCCTCTCATAGCCTGGACCAGACTGCTCTGGCATTTTGTTAACAAATCTGTCCCCCTACTTGAGAGCAGAGGTGACATCACTCTCTGGTTGGTACCTCCAGCCCCTAGCCCAGGAGCCCCTCAGCGAATGTTATTATTATTATTATCTTTGATAAATATTTATTAAATCAGTGACCTCCCCAGTAGGTAGTGTCTACATACAGATCATCTTATTGATTAATTGATTGATCTATCAGTTGACTTGTTCAAAACAAGTTTTGTTGTTGTCACAACAGCAGAGTGACAGAGCTTATTTGCCTTTTTCAGAGCCTCTTCTCTTCTTCAAAGCATGAAAAAGAGGGGGAAGCACATGATGAGGGAAGGCAGAAGTCACCTCGACACTCAGCAATCAGAATGGCGTCAAAGACACTCCTGGAGTCTGCAGGCACCTGGTGCATGTCCTAGCAGGAGATGTTTTTTATTACAGTTCAAATTTCCCCACAAAAGGATATATTTTAGTCCAAATTTATTACAGTCATGGGACTCCTTGATCTGTCTGGCTCAGCAGCATTTCTTAAGTAAACTGAATGAGAACTGGTTTCACTTAGTTATTAAAAATCACCTACGTTGAAGATTAAATGTCCACAGACCACCATGTCTTCATTCAATAAACTTGTAGTTTCGGCACCATACCAGGCCCTGTGCCAGCCATTGGGGGAGGTATAGTGACGTGGAAGAGGTCGTCCCTACCCTCAGAGAAGGCACTGTCCAATGGTCAGCAAAGGAGCCATTGGAGCTATTTAAATGGTTCCAGTCTTCGTGTTATGGTTTACTTAACTGAAGGTAGCTGCCTTCATTGGAAACAAAGAAGATTGATTTCTTTTGCACCTGCTGCATACACAGACTTTAGCTAAATTATTCCATTTAATCCTGGGCACTTTACCGTATTACGGATGAAGAAACCGAAGCTCAACGAGATTAGATAACTGGCCCAGGCCACATGCGAAAGAGTGGTCAAGCCGAGATTCCAATGAAGGTCTGTCATTCCCTGAAGACTGTGCCCTTTCCATGCCACCATCCTGGTAATGGGAACACCCTCTAAGGCCATAAAAAGAATACCCATGGCTCACAGAGCCGTGCAAAGTTGCCAGGTCAAACAAACTCCATTGGAATCTGTTTACAGCTCCTTGAAAGCCAACTGCCATCCAGTAAATTAAAAAACAAAGCACACACAAACACACATCATTAAGTTGAAAAGAAAAATTGACACAAAGGAACAGTCTACTTATTGACTTATTGTTAATAGGCATCGCCAGTCCAAGGACACAGGGAGTGACATCTATCCCAGGCCTCCCCCTGCTCTGAGAGGGATTTTGTGAAGGCCAGCTTCTTTTGGCTTCCCCTAGAAAGCAGAAGGTGTTAACTCTTGAGCAGTAGCGCATGGAGAGGCAGAGGGCCTAGGACGTTTAGGCCCCAAGCGGGTAGAGAGAGAAGAGCAGGAAGAGGGACCGCTAGCTGTGTAAGGAATTCTCGGGGTGGATTCTGTCTGTGAGCTCAGGGGGGTCACCCTGCTCACCGTGGCCACAGTCTTACTTACATCCCTAACTCCAGGGAGAGCTCAGCCCTCAAAGGAGCCATTCCCAGACCAGTGAAAGCAAAGCCTGGAAGAGGGCACCAAGCCCACACTGCCGCCTCCCACGGGGCCTCTTCTCTTCTTGCGTGGTGCTCCCCTCATCCTGCCTCCATGGTGGTTTTTGTTTGTAAGAAACACCTCTCCCTGAGTCCCTCCCTCAGAATCTTCAAATTATTACAGGAATCCACCGATGGGCACAGAGATTAAGAATTCCAAGTGCTTCATTTGTAGGTTTTGAATAGTTTCTCCTAACTGGAGCGTTTCTGCCACGGCTGAGGGTTTTATTATTCCAAGAATACGAATCACATTGCACCCACAGAGTCTGAAAGGCAGATATGCTGACTTCCACAACATTCACTCAGAGAAAGTTCCCATCCTCTCCTGGGGGATTGGAAGGGATTTAGCTGCACACCCCATAAACTACTGTTGTGTAAACAGACTCTGCAGGCAATAACTTTGGGGGAAAATCCCCACTCCTGTGAGCCGTGTTTTGGCTCAGATCCCTCTCAAGACTTGAGAAGCAATGTTAATCATCTAGAGTATTTTAAAGCCCCTGGAAAAATCAGTAAAAGTGCTTTCCCTCCTAAACTACTCTCCTCGGGGGGTTGTAAGCCCTTGGAAGCCCCCTCTCAAGGCACATGGACCCATGCTCCAGGTTCCTGGGGAGTGTTACTCAGAATGATGAAAATGGCTCCCTCTACCAGGGCCTGGCTTTCAGGGACATCTGTGAAGTCATGTCAAGCTGATTGAAAGGAAACCTTTCCTTCGGGTATGACTGCATTTCACCCAGAAGGAAGCTGTGGGGGCGAAAACAAATCAATGAAGGATTTGCAGAGAGATGTTCTCTGGGCCCGAGTACAATTTACAAAATGCAATGGAGAAGAAGATCAATCTCCTCCCTCTCTGCCAGGCTGGAACAGATTCCTGAAGAAAAACAACTCTTTGCAACAGAACCTTAGACTCGGCTAGAAGAGAGTTTCCTCAAAAGGCACAGGGAAAGGGCTATGAATTCCTGAAATCCTACAGCAAGCATTTAATCTACCAGCATCAGGCAAAGGGGAGGGGAGACCGGAGGACAGGTGCCAGCGTGGTGTTCCTGCTGGGACAATTTACAGAGAGAAAGTTGTATGGAATGAGTTTTCCAATAACACAGGGGAACAGCCACACAGCCATCTTCAGACCAACCGAGTGGCGGGTCACTGATTTAAGAAGCAAGACCAGTCAGGGTTCTGCCCTTTTAATTATAACCTGAGGGAAGGGACCCAGCCAGGAGGAAATGGTTTTGCATGAGCCCGAGCCTGAAGAAACATGTTTCCAAGCTTCTCCAAGCCACTTTGGCAGCTGGGTGAAGCCAGGGCCAAAACAAACACATTGGGAGTTACCTCCAGACCCCCGACCCCTCCCCTTCCTCCAAAACCCATGAAAACTTGATTTGTCTCAACTAAACACAAGCTGGGAAATTGGAGAGGAGGCAGAGGGGAAGAGGGAAAGAAAGGGGGGCCAGGCAGCATCCATGCAGTCAGTTGTATTATCGATATAGAGCCACACAAGCCCCAGAGTGCCATCAACAAGGATCATACCTCCTGCTGATCTCGGGGGAAATTCTCCAAGATCCATGGCTGGGAGTTAAGGAGAAGCTCTAAGCCATCAGGAAGGAGCGGAGCACTGCAGCTCCTCAGAATGATGGACCAGGGCGAGCTTTAATTAACAGGGTCTGATGCCTCTTCTTTTTTGGTAACTGAGCAGATTTAAAGGGCTAGAGTCCCAATTTGGAGGGTGCCCGTGCTGCTCTTGCTGTTACCGTTGCTGCTGCTCTGGCCGCTGCTCCGGGCTACTGGAACAGCTTCCTGCAGACCTCTCACTTCACGAGGAAATGGAGCTAGGAAGGTGGAAACGTGCGGCCAGTAACATCGCGGGGTCTCAGGCTGCATGGTTTGAGTCAGAAGCTCAGGGCCGTGGACCTAGGCACTGCCCACCCCAGTGAATGCCAGTGTCCTACATGCTGTCTCCCAGACTGGGGAGAAAGGCTGGGTTCCGTGGGTGCAGGTGGCATCAGGGGCACCCTCTCCAGACGTGGGGCTGCACGGACAGTGCCCAGCAAAGTAGGAAGTGTGGTCTCTGCTGTGTGCCCTCTCCTGAGAGCACTCCTGGGTAACAACCACCCTATAAGCTGCACACACACACACATCTGCCATGAACACACATGCCTGCCATGAACACACGTCTGCCCATGCACACACGTCTGTCCATGCACACACAATGCCTGCCCATGCACACACATGCCTGCCCGTGCACACACACGTCTGCCCATGTATACACACGTCTGCCCATGCACACACACATCTGCCCATGTACATACATGTCTGCCCATGCCCACACCATGCCTGCCCATGCACACACACAATGCCTGCCCATGTACACACAATGCCTGCCCATGTATACGCAATGCTTCCCCATGCACACACAATGCTTCCCCATGCACACACACATGCCTACCCGTGTACACATATGTCTACCCATGCATACACGTCTACCTATGTACAGACAAATGCCTGCCACGTACACACAATGCCTGCCCATATATAACAATGCTTGCCCGTGCACACACACATGGCTGCCCATTGACACACGTCTGCCCATGTACACACATGTCGACCTGTGCACACACATGTCTACCTACGTACACACAAATGTCTGCCCATGCACACACATGCCTGCCACTGCACACACGTCTGCCCATGTACACACACATGCCTACCTTCCAGACACCCAGATGCAAAGGCACGTAACCTAAAGCCAGCCAGATGCCCTGTCCACACACCTGTATTTTCTAGGTAGATCACCAAGAGTAGTAGTTGTGACAGAGAGCATGGCCAAGAGGGGGACTGGGGTCAGATGGCAGAGGTACAAGGGGAAGAGCAAACCCATGTGGGGAGTCCCTGCCTCTCAGGCTGCCTTTCCGAGAGCAGGGATCTGTGTCAGGGGCAGTTTCAATTCAAGACCATCACCCCAGACAGCCCTGGCCACACGGCCTCTTTCCACTTGCTCCTGCTGGTCTACCTGTGAAGCCTCACCTTGGGGAAGACCTCAGTGTCTCCTCCTCATACTAGACTATCACATGCTTGGCATCCATGCAGTGGAGTTGATTTTTCTGTGATGTTCCTTTAGCCAATACAGTAGGCACCTTGGGCGATATTTTTAATACCATTTTCCCCTAGTAAGCACTCAAAATAAGTCCCGCCAACTGGGGCTCACCAGACTCAGGGCCCCACCTTGGAGTGAGTGCTGGGGGTGTCCAGGAGGGAGCTGAGCTGTGGGATGGGGGGGTGAACCTCAGATCTCGCCCAGCTCTGCTCCGAGCATATGTGTGACCCCCTCCCCATCCTGAGCCTGGATTTTCTCATTTGTAAAATGACAGTGTTGAACAAAGCCAGTAATGCTCTTAACAGAGAGGGGAAGCAAGGAGGGAGACACATGGACTGTTAGAAAGCATGTTCCATTATTCCAACACCAAACCCTCTTGGCTGATGGGGACAGCACGCTGCAGAGGGCTTGCGCTAAAAAATCTTGAGATACACTGGCAGGATCATCTCCAAAGGCCTCAAAGTCAATGAGGGATGGAGTGCAGTGGACACATTCTCCCTGATCGCAGCCTCTCCTCCGAGAGATGGATCCTCTCACAGATAGCTCAGGCTGGCAAAGGTCAGAAAGAGATAGCACTTTCAATTCCAGCGGAGCATTAGGTAAAATCACTGACAACTACAGTCTCTCCCCACCTTTCCAGAAAATCTCTCTCTGCACCCACTCTACCCCTGCCTGGCATCCTCCTCCCACCCTCAGGTGCCCAGAGCCCTCACGCCCACTGGCAATAAAAACCTTGTCAGCAGTGGATGTGCTCTCACCCATTTAGACATCAGTTCAATGTAATTTGCTGTCTCCATCTGCCCAGGACACTTGCATATGGCATCTTCTCTCACCTTTAAAGAAAGTGTGCATGAGAAACGGTGAGTTTGGGGCTGGAGGTGGAGGTGGGAGTGTGTTCCCACAGACTCACAACCCCAGAGTCCGTGAGAGCATCTCTGAGGAAGGTGGACTGCGGGGTCGATAGAGGCTGGCACAGCAGAGAGATGCCCAAGAAGAACCACTTGACAAGGAAATGTCTGGGGGGGAATTCCAGGTTCTACTCCTACTACCCCTCCTCCCCAAATCCTTGGGGTCGCTTTCCCAGTTTTCATTAACAAAATTCAAGCCCCACATTTCTGAGATTGGTAACAAAGAGAATGTTCACGTCGGGGAGAAAGGGTGGCCTCGACACCCCTTTGCTTGGGGTGATCTTGGAGTACACATGCTCTCTATGTTACCATAGCTACCACCACGATGGCCTCATGGGCCACAGTTCAAGTCTTTCCTCAACTGTCTCCACAGTTCCTCAGAACAGAACTAAGATGAGGCTGGGTTATTTGGAAAAAAGGGCTATGAACCCACAGGAAGCCAGCTCCCCTGGGCAGCAGCCATGGCTTACTCAGCTCTGCTGGGGCAGCCCACTGAGTAGGGGAGGAGAGGTTGTCTGTAGCATCCACCACGAGGAAGTGCCCTCGTGACATCTTGACCTCTCCAAGTCCAAACTGAAGAGCCTCCGGCCCAGAGAGGAGCAGGCATTCCCTCACCTCCTGTCCAAGCTCCACTGTTCACACCCCTTTGGCCCAAATGACAACCTGACTCTTCTCTAGTGATTGACAAATGGGAACATCCACTCTCTTCATTCCCATACGCAGGAACTTCACTTTATCGGACTTCTATAAGATAAGCTTATCAGAAGGCAAACTAGGAGGCCTAATCTCTGTGTAAGGTGGGAGTGATTTCGTGGAGCCTCGAAATTGGCCTGTCCACCAATCTGCTTTTGTGAACCTGGTTGTTCACTATGGCCCCTCAGCTTGGGCCACCCACAGACACTCTGCGATGCTGAGGCTGAGCTCTCCAGACCACTCTTTCCAGGCGCCCCTGCCCGCTGGCTTCCTGCTGGTTCAGCAAAGGAGGACTCGAGGGAGATGGGAGCGCCAGAAGAGAGACAGCTGCAAAGGGATAGCTCCTGCCCCCAGCTTCATTGTAAATTGGGAATGCTAAGCCCAGCCTCCCTGCACCCCATTCGAGATCCAGCACCAGCTCTGCCCACCTCACAGAGGCTCCAGCAGCGGCTGGGCCATGACCCTCAGTGGTCAGACCCACCAGCCGTGTGACACTCCACCCCCTACCCTCGTGTCCCCTCAGCCACGGCAGTCCTGTTGCGTTGATGCCTCCCTCAGGGTCTGAACACCGGCCCCACAGGGCCCTCCTAGGCCGGGTGAGACCTCCTCTTCTCTTGTTCCCTCAGCCCTGCGGGTGGTAGCTGTTCTTGCAATGATTAATTCTTGGGTTATTTCAGCTATCCGATTCCTGTGTAACTAATCCTCTGTATTAAATGCCACCTGCTGGAAACATCTAGTGTGGTTTTGTTTTCCTGACTGGACAAGAATTTTCCTTGGAGGTCCCAAATTGCAGTGTTCTGATAGTCATGATCAAGTCATAGTCTGAACATTCCGGCACATATTACACCTTTTAGAATATAAATGTTAACATTTGTAGATTAAAAGAAATGACGAGAGAGAGTAAATTATTAAGATCATTCTGCAAGCTGCAGCCAATCGGCACATCCTTATATTACATATTTGTCCTTTGTTACCCCAAATTTGCACGTGTCAAAAAAGGAAAAATGCTCCCGGTCTAATTTTAGATCTACTGAATTCAAAACAAAAGAATCTTAAGACATAACTTAGGAAGTCAACCTCGAGAGAACTGAGCTGAAGGTCAGCACGGTAGGGAAGGACTCTGGGTAACTTACACGTTATCATTCTGCTTATTAGTTATCTGTGTTAGGTGCATTAGGTAAATGTTAGTACGTTTCACTAATATTTTGGAACTTGGACAGTGTAGCTATCAGAGAATTGGAGGGCTTTAATTCGCCTCTCATTTCATTCCCTCAGGGGTCTGCGTTCTGAGAACAGCCACTGAGAACAAAGGGCCCCTGGGCAGAGCCTGGACGAGGTGCCCTAGGCCAGCAGGTCCCAGGGAGGACTCTGGTGTCTTCTCTTTCACACTGAACGCATGACGATGAGACCTGAGAGCAAGCCTTGGTCTGACATCGCCCAGATGCGCGTAGAGAGGGGCGGCAGAAAGCAGCAGCCCCCAGCCTGGTGAGGCCTGCTCTAGTCCAGGCGGGCTGTCTGCAAAAAGACAGAAAGAGCAACAAAGTGACCATGGATGGTGACGGACTTTCCGAGCACAGGGACCAGACCCTGCCCGCTGATCCATGTCCCAGGCTCAGATCGGTGATTAGCAAGTCCTCCTCCTCTGGGGAGGCTGTTGCAGGGAGGGGCCAGCAGAAAGGCAAGTCACAGAGAACCTAATTGTTCTCTCTTCTACGGGCAAGGGTGAGAACATGGGAAGAGGGAGTGAAATGTTTTTGTGGCCCCTCACATCATCTTTACTTCTCTCCGCTCTTCCAAGATGCCACATCCAGCACGATCCAGTGTGTGCTACCCTAGAGATAAGGCCCCAGGCAGTCTCCTCCTCTCCAGTCCCACCGCCGCTGGCTTCACTCGGCCCTTTTCTCTCTCATCTGGTCTCCCACAAGAAATTTCTAAATGAATCCCTCTACCTCCTTCCATTCACACATAGTGCCCGGTGTCCTGATAAGCACTGGGGACAAGATGGCAAATAGGTGAGATGAAGCCCAGCCCCCGGGCAGCTCCAGAGCCTGCAGAAGGACAAATATCAAACAATTGCAAAGGAGAACGAGGACAAAGAACAAGAAATGCACAGTGTTGCTGTCAGTTCTCATCGCAGGACTGACTGACTCTGGGGGAATTGGGGCAGGTTCCTGAGGTGGGACCCGGTGTTGATGTGGTGGGGGAGAGATTGCTCCCGACAGACTGAAC